AAACAAAACATTCCTAGATTAATTAATAATAATTCCTTAATATTACCAAATGTACGGTCGTATTCAAATTTCCCCAATTGTCTCATCACTTCTGTTTTACAGTCGATTTGTTCAAATCAGGATCCAAACAAGATGGACACCTTGCAACTAGATATATTTTTTAAAATGTATTTTAAATAGTTTTAGGCTCACATGGAGGTTTCAAAAATAATACAGGGAGTTCCCCTGTACCCTTCATGTAGCTTCCCCTAATATCTTAAGTAACCACAGTATAATTATCACAACCAAGAAATGGGCACTGGTACAGTACTATTCAAATTACAGACTTTATTTGGATTTCATCAGTTTTTATGCGTACTCGTTTTTCTTTTTCTTCCTTTTGTTTATAGTCCTACAAAATTTTATTACGTGTATAGGTTTATGGAACCACAATCAAGAAACAGAACTATCACCCAGAGAAAGTTACTTGTACTATGTTTTTATAGTCAAGCCTTCCTCCTCAACCCTTACTCCTAGCCACCACTGATCTGTGCTCCAGACCCTCCAACTTTGTCATTTTGAGAACATATATAATGAAATCGGATAGTAGGCAGCCTTTTCAGATTGAATTTTTCACTCAGCATAATGCCTTTGAAACCCACGCAAGTTGTTACAAGTCTCAATAGCTGGTTTGTTTTACTGCTGAGTAGTATCCATATTAAGTCACTTTTAACTTATAGGTATCCGCTAACCTCTTTTTGTTTTCTTACCATTTATTTGTTCAGAATCTGTCCTACAGAATGTTTTTCATTCTGGATTTTGCTGATTTCATCCCCATAATGTTATTCACTTTTTTCTGTATTCCCAGTCATTCCTGTAACTGACAGATCTCCACACTTGGCCAGAATCTGATGGTCTTCTGTAAAGAGCCCCCAATCCCCACTGGCAACTCTAAGGCAAGTGTTACCGAACACGCTTGGGGAAAGAATACTGTAGAGGAAGGAAGACAATGCCATGGGGACTAGGGCCATCTGAGAAGGCCTCCTGTAGGAGAAGGGTTTGAACTGGGGCAGTGCTCCAGGAAGGCAGCCCCAGAGGCTGAATGCGAGGCGTCACAGTGGCAGAGGAGGGGGTAGGGTTGGACAGAACTTCCTGTGCAGGCTTCATGATGGGTTCCATGAAGGCTGAGCCTGGGACACTGATGAAACTGCCACCACCCCTGGACCCTCACCCCCTCACCAACTATCACCTCCACTCTTGGGACACCCCTGAGCTTGGACGGTGTGCACCTGGGTAGGGGGCAATGCCTACAAGGCCATGTTGGATGTCAGATGTGAGAGCAGGCTGTGAAATTGTCCTAAGACCCTTATGAACACCAGGCTTTTGCCACAGCCTCTAGAGGTTTCCTTCCCAAGATGGAAGACCTGAAACCTGCAGAGGTGAAGGCTACACCTCCAACTCAAGGGGTGGTAGGGAGCCAGGAGGGAAGAGAGACCTCGGAGCACAGAACACTTGAGTTTGAGGTTCTCAGGGTCAAGAGGGCCCTCCCGCTCTTCAGAGGAATTGAACCCTCTGAAGCTCATGTCACGGGGGGCTGTACCACCTTCACTTGCACACCTCTACCCGCCCCCCTGCCCCCACCCGGAAGTGAGTACAGCCATCCAGGCTACATGATTGGACAACTCTGATGTGTCGAGTGTCCCCTCATATCATCCTGGCTCTCTGTTCCTGTCTTCTAGGACCACAGGAACAAGTGCAATCCCTCCTCT